GGGTGATGCTCAGGGTTTCTCTGCGTGGTAGACTTAGAAATGAGGATATCCGCAGTAGAACCATAGTAACTGACATAGCCCAACGGATTAGTAAGCTGAAGTGGCAATGGGCCGGACATATAGCTCGTTGAACCGACAATCGATGGGGAAGAAAGGTTCTCGAGTAGCAGTCATGTACAGGTAGGCGAAGTGTAAGTTGTCCCCCCACTAGATGGAGTGACGACCTGGTAAGACATGCAGGAAGTCAATGGAGGCAGGTGGCTCAGGACCGGGCTTTGTGGCGTTCCTTGGGGGACGTCTATGTTCAGCAGTGGACTTGTGAAGGGCTGTAATGTAATAATAGGTACAGTTAAAGTTTCTTCTGCAACGAACGAATCCGACGTCATTTAGTAATGAAAAATAAAGGAAACATTTCATTCTTTATTGTAGTATTTATGCTCGAAAGCGTCTTTGACAAATGGCTTTAATTCATCTCCCGAAATTGCTTCGAATGTTTTATTCTAAATAAACATTCAAGTGGCACCGTGACATTTTCATTCATTCGTGAAAACCCTTAAGGGCGTTTAATATTTAACGCTGTTATATTTTAATCAAATGATTAATTGCTTCTAGAAAGAGCCTAACTCAATTTCAGACAAACGTTTTCAAAACGTATTAACATTAATATAGAATTATCAAGAGTAGGGAACGTTAAGGGAAATTCTGAAAAAGGGAAATTTATTGTCAAACAAGTTTTCATCAAAATCTTTATATTATAGATTTTTTTTATAGAATAAGTGTGACAAACGGGCACAGTCTACCTGATGGTAAGTGGATGTTGTGGCCCATACACTCATTTATCCACATTGATAATCAAACTACAGATGCCTTGTCACCCCTGAGGACTAAGATAGAATCCCTCGTTGCCAGTAAAAGGGTTTCCGGTTATCTACACTCACCATACGAAACACAGCAGCATGAAGCTGGTATTCTGTGAGAGTGTGGGCCTACCCCGGTCGGATTACAACCATAATATAGCTGTTATCTAGCTCCGCACTAGTTGTACCTGACGAGAAATATTACTTATTTTGAAGTAACTTTCAGTTTCAGGGTTTAAGCGGCATAAAAATGGCACCTTAGATAAATAAGAAGCATTAAACTATGAAACTAATTGCCAAATACTCATACTCTGCTCAATTTTAAGATGTCGTTAAGTAACGTGGTCTCACAGTCACTTTGACTTAAAATGGTAGAAGAGACAGCACGATACTAACGGCGTCTTAAAATTGAACAGTGTTTATGTATTGAGACATAAAACTTTTAACGCAGTAGAGCCACGCTGCAGCTATTTTATGGTTGCAACAAGAAAGTGACGGTATTATACTGTGTTATGTTAATAAATAAGTAAATAAAATTCTAGCGAACAATTTGCTTGAGAACATTATTATCTCACTCATTTTTATAAAATTAAAAATGACATTGTCAACTCCATCACAAAAGAGGAAACTCCCGGGAAAACGTGGTGCAATTTATTTCTAATATACGTCCACACGGAACGACGTCGTCTGCAATATTAATGCTTTGCTCCAGAAAGAAGGTTCCAGCTGCAATGTCGATACCAGCTGAAATTACTTAATTTATAATTTATGATTTCTTGTATTTACGCGAACACTACACATTAAATTATAAATGCTTTAACGTTTTTGTTTTAGCTTTTTCGAAACGTTGAAATCGTCGAAAATTAAAAAGTTAAAATTAAACACGATAAAATCCGTAAAATATTATTAAATAATTGAATTAAAAGTTTGAATAATTTACGACGTAAATGTATCGTCACAATCATAATAAGGAATCACGCCTGTCACCCAGAGAGGTAGGCAGAGACTACGAACATCCATTTGGCACGATCCTGACACAAGCTCTCTCGCCTCCTTTACATCCATATACCTACGCATACATGCACGTCGGTTAAAGGTACTCTTTATTTGGCCCATCTCTAATATATCGCCAATTTGGTCGAAAAACTTTCACCTAGGGCGTCCTTTGCCTACTCCGTCGTTCACTTCTGCAACTTAAATTTGCTTTTTCACTCTTTCCCTGTTTATTCTTACATTTATTTATACATATATATTTTCTTACATACATACATTCCCTTCTTAATTCTCGTCACAATATAATCAGTGGCCACGCGGCAGCTTTTGCTGTCGCACGGATGGGCCACCTCGAACCGGGGTGGTACCACGACCTCACAGAATACCAGCGTGAAGTAGAGGTTTACCTCTGCGTTTCGCTTGGTGAGTGCAAGTGGCCGGAGGCCTTTTTTACTGGAAATGAGGCATTCCATCCTAGTCCTCACGGGTGAAAACGCATCTGCATTTTGATTTGTAATAGAGTATAGATGTAGATGTCTATGGGCTGCAGCAACCACTTACCATCAGGTGGACTGTGTGCTCGTTTGTCACCCTTGTCCTATAAAAAAAAAGTCTTGCAAACGACTCTGAAATTATATCACTTTAAATTTAATTAGGCAATTAGCTGACTTCAAAAAAAGGAGGTTTACAATTCGACAGTATGTTTTTTTGCATGTAGATATGTTACGCGATATTTTCATCAAATGTGTACCGAATTTGACGATTCTTTTTTAGGGTTCCGTACCCAAAAGGTAACCAACGGGACCCTATTACTAAGGCTCCGCTGTCCGTCTGTCCGTCCGTCTGTCTGTCAGCTCTCTGCTGTCTGTGGCTCACAATCCGTAATAGGTAGACAGTTGAAATTTTTACAGAATATGTATTTGTGTTGCCGCTATAACAACAAATAATAAAAATTAATTAAAATTTTATGAGGGTTCCCCTACTAGAAAAGTGTTTTACGATGATACGGAACCCTTCATGTGCGAGTCCGACTCGCACTTGGCTGTCTTTTTATTAAATAGGCTATTCTTCAGAAGTAGTCCCATATTATTTGGAGAAAAAATCCATCTCAATTTGATGGCGGCAAAATAGAATAATATGGAATGTTTAATATAACAATTTAGGCGACATTACGTTTGTCCACTCAAGGTCAACCCTCGGCTTTTTATTTAAAGTTATTCTTTTACAAATCCACTGCTGCACATAGGCCTCTCCCATTGATTGCCTCATGGGGAATATTTGTCATAGTTGTCATTTTTATTAGTCGGGTTAGCAACCGAATTTTTAGTGGTATTAAATTGTTTTCTTAAACGTGGTAGTACCATGCTGCAGCTATATTTTGGTTGTAGCATGAATGGATCGATACGGCCGGGGTAGGATAACATAAAAGACAGAATACCAGCGTAAAAAATCAGTTTAATTCTACTTTGTTTAATATGGTGAGTGAAGAGAACCGGAGAACTATTTTACTGGAAACGAGACATTTCATCTTGATTCTCAGGGGTGACAACGCATCTGCATTTTGATTCTTAATCGAGGATAGATGTTGGTCTATGGGCCATAGCATTCACTTGCCATCGGGTTGACTGTGTGCTCGTTTGAAACCCTTATTCTATATATAAATGCTGCTTCCCATCTCTTGTTTCAGTTGTCCCCTCCTGCCTCTTATGATCCCCACAGGGTGATATAGGTAGATAATTATTATATTCCTTATAATTATGACTTTGGCCTCTCAGTATATTTACGAAAATGTTGTGTATGTATATTTTATTAAGAATAGTGATATACATTCTGTAAATACTAGGAACAACGACAAGCTAGTTATACCAGTTACTCGACTCCAAATAGACAGTAATTCCTTCATGGGGCAATGTATACGCTTTTACAACAAAGTCCCAGAAAATACGCAGGGCGTATGTATGAAAAAAAAAATTAAAACTTTTATTAAGCAAAAATTGTTAAATAATTGTTACTATACTACTAAACATAGCCCAACGGATTAGTAAGCTGAAGTGGCAGTGGGCTGCCCATATAGCTCGAAGAACCGACAACCGATGGGGAAGAAAGGTTCTCGAGTGGCAGCCTCGTACCGGTAGGCGAAGTGTAGGGCGACCCACCACGAGATGGAGTGACGATCTGGTAAGGCATGCAGGAAGTCGATGGATGCAGGTGGCTCAGGACCGTGCTTTGTGGCATTCCTTGGGGGAGGCCTATGTTCAGCAGTGGACTTATAAAAGGCTGTAATGATGATGATGATACTACTAAAGAGTACATAATTAATAATAACCCCTGGGAATGAGGTGATCGCTATCATGCTGATTCTAAATGTTTTCATAACAATTCTATAAAATATTTTCTGCCGACTTCCAAAAAGGAGACGGTACTCAATTCGACGCGTATGTTTTTTTTATGTGTGTTACCTCATAACTTTTTACTGGGTGAACCGATTTGGATGATTCTTTTTTTATTTCAAAGCTGGTACTTCTCCTGTGGTCGATCAAGGTCAGACCTATAGTTGTTGAGTTATTCTTAATAACTTATATTGAAGTCGGCTGTACAAAATTTTTAATTTTTAATTATATTGCAAATTATTAATTGTTTAAATAAATAGTCCCACCGGGTTTCTTGCTGGACAGAGGTCTTTTTCGATACAGTGGTAAAACTTAAATGACCCTCAAAAAGTATTCTTGTAATATCTTATCTATACATCTATACAAATAAATAAAATTGAAGTGTCTGTTTGTAATGTCAAAATTACAGTTTTTCACTACATGCATATGAAAGTAAATACGGTACTTATAACTAAAATACAATCTTTACAATTTTTGTCTGTCTGTCTGTCTGTTTGTTCCGGCTAATCTCCGAAACGGCTGGACCGATTTTGACGGGACTTTCACTGGCAGATAGCTGATTTCATAAGGAGTAACTTAGACTACTTTTATTTTAGAATAAGGATTAGGGTTCCGCGCAAAAATATAAAAACTCTAACACGCGAGTGAAGTCGCAGTGAACAGCTAGTATTTAATAAAAATGGTTCTATTCTATTCTATTCTATTCTCGCCGTTGCCACTATACGGCTATAGTTATTATATTACAGTTATCGTTACAGAAATGTCTTCTTGTCGTGTTGCGGCTTGCGTGGCCGCGCTGGCTGCGGTGTGCTTCGCCCTGCCCAACGCTGTTCTAACACTCGACCTGAACAAGCTTTACGGGCATCATACCAAGCGATCTGGTGAGTAAATTATTTTATATTCTTCAAATCTATACAAAAAAAATTAAATTGAAGTGTCTGTTTGTAAAGTCAAAATAATAGCTTTTTACTAAATGCATATGAGAGTTTATAGGGAACTTATAACAAAAACACAATTTTTTAAATTTTTGTCTGTCTGTATGTCTGTCTGTTTGTTTCGGCTAATCTCCGAAACGGCTGGACCGATTTCGACGGGACTTTTACTGGCAGAGAGCTGATGTACCCTATTACATATAACTAGTAACTTAGGCTACTTATATTTAAAAAAAAAAGATTTAGAGTGCCGCGCAAAAAAATTAAAACCCTAATTTACACGCGGGCGAATTCGCGGAGAACCGCTAGTCTAAAAACACTAAAAGTCAAAGAATAAATCTGATGGTAAGTGGCTGTTGTTTTAGCCAATGGACTAAGATGCGTTGTAGCTTTTGAGTTCTGAGGACTAAGATAGAATGTCTCACAGCCTGTTATATGCCCTAAGGTTAACTGACAGAGAATGCTTTTAGCATTAGATCCACCTTTTATTCCACTGTTTGTAAGGTTCACTAAATATTAAATAAATAAATAGATACTGGCTATATGGCCTTGAAGGGTCTGAACTGAAGGGTTTTTATGCGTGGTAGAGCCATGCTGCAGCTATATTAATAGTATAGTTGTAGTAAGAATGGGTCGGCTCGATCAGGAAAGGATCACGCTCTCACAGAATACCAGCGTAAATAACAGCTCAATGCTGCTGTGATTCGTATGGTGAGTGTAGAGAACTGAGGATTCTTTTTACTTTTTAGGGGTGACAGCGCATCTACATTTTTATCCACAGCATCCACTCAACATCAAGTGAACTATGTGCTCATTTGTCATCCTAATTTTTTTTACGAGGCCACGATGCTGTTTTATTAGTTCTATCACGAATGGGTCGGCTTAACCGGGGTAGAACCGTGCTCTCACAGAATACCAGCGTAAAATAGCAGCATAAGGCTGTTGTGTTTTGTACAGTGAGTGTAGAGAACCTGAGACCCTTTTACTGGAAACGAGTCATTCCATCTCAGTCCTCAGGGGTAACAACGCATCTGTATTTTGATTCTTAGTTGAGGATAAATGTACCACCAGGTGGTCTATGTGCTCTTTTTCACCCTTATTCTATAAAACAAAAGAATCTATCAGAAAAAAACAGAATTCACCATGCCAGTTTGATAAAAACGTAATATGATTATCCCGTTTTACTTCAATACGTAACTCGGTCAGCCAGACGATAAAACGTAATTACCGCTCCAACGTTGATTCATGTGGAACGAGCTAGTCGTGTCTACTTACTTCTAACGACTGCGGTTTGATGTCATTAAATGCCACCTAAGGAATAAGAGAGTTCCAAATAGGTCAACGCTAAGAAATATCGGTCGTCGACTTTGAATAACGGATAGTAGTTCATTGTTACTTTACGCATTTGTTAAAAAAAGTGAATTAGGAAAAGTGCTTTTTCTTCTTTGGTAATGGACTCGTGCTGTACTCGTGTTGTACTTTTGCCAGTGTCAAGTATGAAATATATTTTAAATTAATTTGCTTCAAAACTTCTTCACAAAATGTTGATGCGTCATATTGTGAAGTTTTTGGGAGATTTTAACGGTAGCTTGAGCCAGCAGACAGTCGATTACGATAGTACCTCAAGGCACCTAAGCCGACACCTTATCTTGAAATTCATATCACCATCGGAGCACTTGTTACATTGTTTCCACTAATAGTTCACATACGCAGACATTCAATATACATAATTGCATCACTTTTACTCATCAAAATCCACATCAAATACTTAAGAAATAACAAATGAGTCACAATCCGCCACCGGCCAAGTTTATTTATTTATAAGGTACACCAACAACAAAACACATGAAACATTAACAACAACAGGATAATATATGGTTAAATATGTTTGCCGATTACAGGTATATACAATATTTAACGTAATAAGTAGCTTATTATATTATAATGGTACTTAATACAAAATAACTTACATTAAGAAAAAATTAACTAAGAGAGAGAGAGAGAGAGTGCGTGCTGAGAGCGTGAAAAGTAAGCAAGTTCCCGCCAAAACCCCCCCAGTAATTTATAAAGTTTAAATTTTAAGTTTACATAAAATATTAATAATTATGATTCAATTTAAAAAAAAACAACATACATTGGAGCATACTGGTGGACTAATTACTGAAGTGAAGATATTTTTTAGAAAACTGAAGTGACAGTAAGTATAAGTCCACATGATAGTAAGTCAAGAAAAAAGATAGTAAGTTAATCAACGTGGTAGAGCCATGCTGCAGCTATATTAGTAGTATAGTTGAAGCACGAATAACCCATTCGTGCTACAACTATACTACTAATATGGCTCGACCGGGACAGGACCATGCTCTCACAGAATACCAACGTAAAATACAGCTGTGTTTCGTATGGTGAGTGTAGAGAACCGGAGACCCTTTTTACTGGAAAACAGGCATTTTGATTCTTTATTGATGATACATGTGGATATCAATGGGTCACAGCAACCACTTACCATCAGGTGGACTGTGTGCTCGTTTGTCACCCTACCCTATAAAAAAGTACTGCAGTCTATAGAGACCTGCAGCCAATTTCAAACAAAGAGGGCTACAGATGCGTTGTCACATCTGGGTATTTAGATGGAATGCCTCACAGCTCGTAATTCGGTATACTAACTCTCTACACCCTTCCGAATTGAATAGAGCAGAACAAGCTTTTTAACAGTGGTAGAGCTACGCGGCAGCTTTTGCTGTCGCACGGATGGGCCGGCTCGTACCGGGGTGGTACCACGACCTCACAGAAAACCAGCGTGAAGTAGAGGTTTACCTCTGCGTTTCGCTTGGTGAGTGCAGGTGGCCGGAGGCCCTTTTTACTGGAAATGAGGCAGTCCATCTTAGTCCTCACGGGTGACAACGCATCTACATTTTGATTTGTAATAGAGGATAGATGTAGATGTCTATGGGCCGCAGCAACCACTTACCATCAGGTGAACTGTGTACTCGTTTGTCACCCTTATCGTATAAAAAAAGGCACTGCTATATAGCGACAAATATAGGTAAGAGATAACACATTATAATTAATAGAATCAGGCGTAACTTTGTGGAAATCCATTAAATAAAAGCTTTTAGAAAACTTTACTATATATAAATTCACTTAGCGGTTAGCCACCGTAGAGTCTATATCACCTGAGGATGTCTCGTGTAGAGGCGAAACACGTGTCGTATTATCGTCAGTGGTGTGTCTTGCCTAGTGTAGTGGTGTTGGGAGTAGCGGTGCTGGGATTAGTGGTAACGGGGATAGTGCACGCAATTGAGGGAGGGCGGGAGGTGCTCTTCATACTAGGTAAGACACATCATTTTATTTTATAACGCGGATATTTGCGAAGTAAATTTTTCTAAAAGATAACACATTGTTATAACGGAGCATATTCCTATTGTTTTTATAGAATATAACATTAAATACACCTTTATTACGCCTCCTTAAGTTGATAGCGTTTCACTGGATGTTAAATCACTGTTATCACGTTGGTAACGAGCTTCGAAAACCACTTAACTTTGAACAGCTCCCTGAGCATGAATATTCTATCGTTTTGATTTCGTAGCGCCATTGAGTAATTTCGATAAAACATAGTTCCATTTCCATCCGCCAGGGCCGGTATTGTTGTTCTAAGATCACTGGTCCTTTATTAGCCGTATTAGTAAGAGCAAATAATTGTCTTCGGAGAAATTAATTTACTTAATTCAAATAAGAATTGGGTTTTAAAGTGTCCTTTTATTGACATTTGTAGTTATCTTCTTGATAAGATTTATAATAGAATAGAATAGAAATATTTTTATTCAATACTAGCTGTGCCCCGCGACTTCGCCCTCGTGGAATTTACTACGATTTCATGGATATCAATTTTTTTGCGCGGAACCCTAAGTTTGTTTTTGAGTAATGTTACCATTTTATAAATATTGACATTAATATTTATACGATACTAACGTCACTCAATTGTTTTGCCTTCCCGGAACCCCTCCATTAACACTTAAACTTACTTGGTATTAAAGTTCAAAATGACTTTTAAGTATTATTCCGAATCTTTTGTATGGAAATATAGAAAAGTGTTATTTTTAGACTTTTTCAGGCAATTTTTTTAAATTTTTCTCTCCGTAAGAACCATCTTCGTACTTCAAAGAATATTATAAAAAGAAGAATTATCGAAATCGGTTCAGCTGCTAACGAGAATTGCGCTTAGCAACACATTCAGCGATTCATTTTTATATTATAGATAGATTACAGTACATAATACTTATTGAAAGTCATTTTTTACTTTTACAACTGGTTCGCAAAAAAATCTATCCTGTCCTGGGAAGTCCTGGGAAAAACCAGCAAGAAACCCAGCGAGACTTTTTTTTTAAAAAAGCATGATTTACAATATAATTATTTATACAATTATTATGAAAACATTTAGAATCAGTATGGTAGTCATAGATCAGTCAGTAGATCACCTCATTCCCAGGGGTTATTATCAGTCATGTACTCTTTAGTAATATAATAACCCTTACCAGACAACTTTTGCTAAATAAATAATTTAAACCTTTTAATAGAAAAGGTCTGCATATTTTCTAGAACTTTGTTCTAAAAGCGTATACATTCCCCCATGAAGGAATTACTGACCCTTTGGAGTCGAGTAACTGGTATAAGTAACTTGTGCTTGTTCCTAGTATTGACAGAATACACATCACTATTTTTAATAAAACTATTTTTGTTTTTGTGTACACACATATTTTAAACGTGGTAGAGCCATGCTGCAGCTATATTAGTAGTATAGTTGTAGCACGAATAGTTGACGAATAGTTGTAGCAGCGTAAAATATCAGCTTAACACTGTTGTGTTTCGTATGGTGAGTGTAGAGAACCAGAGACCCTTTTTACTGGAATGCCTCTTGCATTCCATCTTAGTCCTCACGGGTGATAACGCATCTGCATTTTGATTCGCAAACGAGGATAGATGTAGATGTCTATGGGCCACAGTAGCCACTTACCATCAGGTGGACTGTGTACTCGTTTGTCACCCTATCCTATAAAAAAAACCTACAATAAGTAGATAATAATCTCTTCTTTACACAGTAAAAATTACATCCTCGTCATCATGATTAACTCTTAGAACTCCGATACTGTACATGCCTCTTTCGTTGTCATCGTCACGCTTGGCTGACGGATTGATATTGATGGCGCCGAAGGTAGAAGTCTCGCATCTTGGTCGCTGCTGCCCAAACACCGGTGTGGGTATTTTGCATCTGGCTTAGACGGTATACCACCGTTTATCGGGAGCCATAAGGTTTATTAATTATTTATTTATTATAATTTGAATGTCACAAGAAATATTATACTTAGCTTCTATACTATAATCAAGTGACGCCTCGTAGGGGCATTGCAATTTAAAAGAGGACAGTCTTTTTTTTTTTCAAAATTACTAGAAATATATACAATTGAAGTGAATTGTGAACTGAAATACATATTACTTACATATGTATTTCAGTTCACAATTAACTTCAAAAAAAATAAACGGTAGTAATAACAAAAAAAAACAAGTTTTGAAAATTTTGTCTATCTGTCTATTTGTTCCGGCTAATCTTCCGAACGGTTGGACCAATTTTGACCCACGTTTAAAAAAAATTAAAACCCTTCACGGGTTTTAATTTTTGATCTAATTGTAATAAATTCCACTCGGGCGAAGTCACGTGGGACAGTTAGTACTAAATATTAACTATACTACTAAATACCAACTAATAAATTTTTTAGCGTTACTAGTTTTAACATAATGTTGTTTTCTATAATTATTACGAGTATACAAACATCTTAAAAGTTTAAAAGTCAGAACATGTTATATAAAGGTGGTACATGTTAAAAAGTTGCACATGTTTCGCTATTACAAATAGCATGCAAAATTAATATTATTATTTTTCAATTATAAACATATAAATAATATCACAGAGTTTAAGTGTCATTACAATAAATTACATTGAATTAAAGATAAATTAAAATATGTCATATAAAATTAAAAGTATTAGGATTTGATGTTAATAAAGTCTTTAATGCCATGTATTTTTCTGTGAACGAGCCACTTAAATAATTTTGATTTAAAATCATTAGTATTTAAATTTTTGATGTCATTAGGAATTATATAATATATCGTTAAACACATTTTAGGCAACTTTTATGGTATTTAGCTGATCTTAGGATGACATCTAACACAAGTATATTAGGATTTCGCTTCAATCTTGTGTTCATGTCACTTGCTTTCATAAACTAATTGATATTTCTCTTCACGAAGCAGCTTATTTCAAAAATATATAGTGCCGGCAGCGGTAGTATGTTTAGATTTTTGCAAAATCCGTTCTACAGGATATGCCAGGCGGTATTCCAGAGATAGCTCGAATACACTTTTTTTGAGCTATAAACGCCTTTTGTATATTTGTGCTATTTCCCCACATTATTATCCCGTAGCGCAAAATGGAAGCTATATACGCGTGGTATGTAATAAGAGCCGTTTGTAAGTTTGTCACTTTTCTCATTTTGTTAAGGGCATATACAAAACTATTAATACGATTACACAAATACTCGATATGTAATTTCCAGTTTAGGTCCTGGTCTATGACTACTCCCAGAAACTTGGTGGACCTTATTTCCTTTATTTTTTTAATATTTAGCTTAAAATTTAATTGTTTATGTTTGGATTGATTAAATTGGATAAAATGTGATTTATTTAGATTTAGTTTTAAATTGTTTATAAGCGCAAGTATGAGTCTCTGAGAGATGACTACATATTTTTGCCATTTGCTGTAGAGGCTATCGGTCCGTGGGGTCCAGGTGCGGTGAAGTTTCTAAAGGAACTTCATGCACGGTTGGTCATTGCTGCTGGTGATAAGATGGTTCTGTTCTCGCTCAAAGGCTAAGTATAGCCATTCAACGGGGAAACGCAGCCAGCGTTCTTGGCACGATACCGCGGGGAGTAGGACTGTATGATAATTAAGTTACTAGATTTAGTTTTTAATATTGTATATAATAAAATATTGTATATTATTGACTTCAGTTTCAAAAGTAATTAATTAAAATTTATTTTTTGAGTTTGAGTATTTCTTTTGACAGTGTTTATAAGGTTACGACTATGGGAATCTTATGTCCCACAACAGTCCATGAAAGGCGGCATAATCAATCCATCAAAACTCACAACGCTCCTTTTTTCAGAGTACTGCCACCCGTATGAGCCGTTCAAGTGCCCTGTGGACGGCAACTGTATCTCCATCCAGTACTTGTGCGATGGCGCACCAGACTGCATCGACGGCTACGACGAGGACTCCAAACTTTGCACTGCTGGTAAGCATTAAACTTAATTTTTAAAAGGAAAATTCGCCATTTTAAAACGGGAATTTGTCATTTTAAAACGAATTTCCGAACGAAGTAGTGAATGGTTCCTTGCTACGTAACGTGTGTTTATTATTTATATTCGTATTTTATTACAATAACCATAGTATTCTATTTTATTCTTATACTATAAGAATATTTATTTAACAAACACAGTAAAAAATGATAAAATAAAAGCAAAATAATATGTGCGCCTCCGGGTGTACCAGCACTATCTTAGGGAACAGACTAAACAAAAGGTCTTAGTTCCTACTGTAGAAATTACTTTTTCCTTAACAGTTTATTTTTTACCTTTTGAGTGGACTAAGAAATATCACTGTTTGAATGTGGTCTGAATTTAAAAACTACATCCCCTATTTTCCATCGTCGATTTACAATTGACGAAGATTCGCGTAACATACTTAAAAAAAATAGGCGATTCCTGAACATTTTTTTAAGTCGGCTAAAAATGTAAGACGCTACCGCACAGTGAAATCAGTGATATACTGACTAAGAACGTTAAGATACCTATAACGCATGTCGCTGTGAAAATCGTATGTTGTGGTTTTTAATGCATGTGATAGAATAGGCGCCTATATATTCATGACATGTATAAATGTGTATTTATGTATTTTAAAAAGAAACTTAGTGACTTTACAAGTATTAAATCTTAATTTTTAGGATTTCGTACCCGAAGGGTAACCAACGGGCCCTTATTACTAAGACTCCACCGTCCGTCCGTCTGTCTGTCAGCGGGCTGTATCTCATAATCCGTATTAGGTAGATAATTTAAATTTTCACCGAATGTGTATTTCTGTTGCCGCTATAACAACAAATAAAATGAAAATAAAAATAAATTAAAAATTAAAGGAATTCTTCATTAGACATTCTACTCGCACTTGGCCGGTTATTTACTAGTTTCTAAAATTCGCTGTATTGACTACCTACTAAATGTCTCCTGGTTGGCAACCATTGTCCTACAAAATACCTGTTACCATCCTTGGGTGTGATCTGTGTTTAACAAGGAAGAAGTAATTATCTAGATAAGTTGGTTTTGGTGTTTTTACGCGGTAGAGCCATGCTGCAGCTGTATTACTGGTATAGTTGTAGCACGAATGGGTCAGCTCGACCAGGTAAGGACCATGCTCTCACAAAATAGTAGTGTAAAATAGCAGCTTAACGCTGCTGTGTGTCGTATGGTGAGTGTAGAGAACCGGAGACCCTTTTTACTGGAAACGAGGCATTCAATCTTAGTCCTCACGGGTGGCAACGCATCTGCATTTTGATCCTTAATCTAGGATAGATGTACATAGATGTCTATGGACCACAGCAACCACTTACCATCAGGTGGACTGTGTGCTTATTTGTCATCCTTATCCTATATTGTTTGCATATCTGATTTGTATTATTTTAAGGATATTTTTGTTTAATATACTGTATTCTATGATTTTTATAATTTAAGAGTCAATACTGTACTGAAATATGCCGTTTATTTAAATAATTTCGAGACTAATTTCTAACATACAACGATCGGAAGAGCACGTTCTCGCTGATATCCGACGAAAAATGGCAAAGAAACGCTGCGCGGCTTTGTTCCGTTCGCTAACTAACGAGTAACGAAGATCCAATTTCTGCAGCAATCATTTAAAACGTGGAAAATGAGGAACTTAATCCGGTATTAACGAAATTACAATGTGTTCATTATACATAGTTTTAGAGCCCACTTATTTTATAGAATAAGAATATACGAACAAACACACAGTCTACCTGGTGGTAAGTGGATGCTGTAGCCCATATTCTTCATTTAAGCTCAAAGCTCAATTAAGTATGAAAATGCACACAATTAAGTATCAATCACCCCTGAGTACTAAGATGGAATACCTCATTTCCGATGTTGAAAATTGATTTTTTAATTTTTTAATAGAATAAAGGTGATGAACGAGCACACAGTTCACCTGATGGTAAGTGGATGTTATAGCTGATAGCCATCTACATACTTCATCACCCTTGAGGACAAAATGAAATACCTCGTTTCTATTAAAAAGGATCTCCATTTCTCTTTAATTACCATACGAAACATAGCAGCATTAAGCTGCTATCTTTCGCTGCTATTCTTCGGTTGAGCGGACCAGTTCGTGCTACAACCATAATATAGTCGCAGCGTGGCTCTACCACATATAAAACACTGTTATATTCAGACCCTTTCAAAAATGAAAACTAAAAAGAAAGAAAGAGGAATATTTATTTTGTATAAGTAGGTATATATTAAATACAAAAAACCTTTTCCTTCGACCTTCAACCCTCAATATAAATTTACATTGAATTTCATGCGTCAAGAATTCAGGCTCACACAACCTTAGCGTAAATATTTACTTATTAATATTGTTAAGTACGCGATGCGTAAAATTAATAATTTATTTAAATCTACGTAGGTATTTGCGGAAGCAGTGAGCCATATATGATATTTGTTTACATTATTATATTTATATTTATATTTATATTTATATTATACATAAACATAAACACTCACGCCTGTCACCCAGAGGGCAGGGATGGTAGATATGATAATATAGAACGACGAGTGAACGCAGGAAATAGAGTGAATGGGGCTCTACACCCTATTGTGAGAAGTCAGAATGTGTCCAAAAAGGCACGTATGGCAATTCACAATGCTGTGTTAGTCCCTACTTTAATGTATGGTAGTGAAAGTTGGGTGTGGCAGAAGAAGCACGAGAGCAGAATAAATGCTGTAGAAATGCGATCATTAAGGAGTATATTAGGGATGAATCTGAATGACAGAGTGAAAAATTGTGTGATAAGAGAAGAGTGTGGTTTGCAAGATGATGTTGTGACCAGGATTAAGAAGGGAATGCTTCGGTGGTTTGGGCATGTAGAAAGAATGAATGAGGAAAGAGTGACAAAGCAAATTTATGTTGCAGAGGTGAACGGCAGAGTCGGGAAGGGACGCCCTAGGCGAAAGTTTATCGACAAAATTGGTCGATAAACTTTCCAAAGATGTGGAGGAAGCGAGAGAGTTGTGTCAGGGTCGTGCCAAATGGAAGTCCATAGTCTCTGCCTACCCCTCTTATATTATATTTATATTATATTACGGTGTCATGTAGTGGGGTTGAAATACAATTTTGGTATACAATGTATTGCAACCATTACACCTTCAATTTGCCATTACTTGCTGGAAGACCGTAACACTATGCTACGTCGTAGAGCCACGCTACAGTTATGTTATGGTTTATTTATAGTACTCTCTCACGAAATACCATAATAAAATAGTATCTTAATGCTGTTGTGTATGTTGTATGGTGAATTTAGGGCACCGGAGACCATTTTTACTGGAAATGAAGCATTTCATCTTAATCCTCAGGGCTGAGAACACATCTGCATTTTGATTACAAACCGAAGATAGATGTAGATGTCTATGGGCCACAGCATCCACTAAAAATCAGGTGCATGCCCGTTTGTCACCATTATTAAAAAAATATACTGACCTCAATTATATTTCCCATTGAATAGACTGACAATAATATTATAATTAATACAATTTCTTTTAAAATTTTGATATACATGTGAAGGAATAATTTAGTACCCCATTTTATTTCAAATTTATTTATTTCTCACCACAAAACCACAAAAATGTCTTAACACTAAACTTAATAGCTATTATAACAAAAATTGTTGTGGATCGTTGGTACCTGAAGTAGGTAATTAAAACAGGATAAGAGTTACAGGTCACTAGACCTCCATCTTAATATCCGTTAATCACTGAGTATATAAATACACATACATTACATAGATGTGGGTGCGAGATTTTATGAGTGCGTGCGCACTCGCGCTTGCGCGTGTGTGTGTATGTGTATGTGTGTGTGTTTGAGTTAGTGAGTAGTGTTTGAATTGTGTGTGCAAGAGTGTGAATAATATGTATACAATAAACATGGACAATAATATAAAGCGATTAATAAAATGAAGAAGATAATGAATCTGAAAGAAGCGAAAGAGGTTTGTAAGGATCGTGACACTTGGCGATCTGTTCTCTCTGGCTACCCCGTCAGGGATTGTGCGTGAAGATAAGTAAAGTAAAGATGAATAAAAGGTAGGAAAAAGGTGATGTGGATTGTTCGTGTCACACCTATGCTTGTAGTTGTTAAGAACACTGCTCGAATTTGCCTTCTCCTCTGGCCGTATGAGATAGCTCAAGGTCGCTCAGCGAGCTATGGAGAGGGTTATACTCGGAATTTCTCTGCGTGATGGAATTCGGAATGGTAGAACCAGAGGAACTCACATAGCCCAAACGATTAGAAAGCTGAAGTAGTAATAGATCGGCCATATAACTCGAAGGATTGGCAACTGATGGGGAAGAAAGGATTTCGAGTAGCAGCCTCCTACCGGTAATTTTGACTTTCTCTTGGCTGTTTTTGTCTTGTCTTTTTTTGTTTACCTCGTTAATTGTGAGATCAAAATTAATGATGACCTCATGGTAAATAATGCTGTGGCCGATCGACACCGACATATAATCCATAAATACACCAATATGTATATTTATGTGTATGTGTATGTAATATGTAAATAGGTATCGAAAATATATAAAGGGATTCAAAATTCAAATCAACTAGTAAATCGAAATAATATATTAATTAAATCACGTTTAAATTAAACTTTGATATGAAATTATACAACAAACCATTCATATACATATTAATCAAAATTCAATATCAATTACACTGTTGATCAAGTCACACATGTGAACATGTAGATAGATTATTAATTACATTAGTCGACGCTGAAGGTCGTTGTGTAAACTCTAATTAATGTTTACAATCTGTCGCAAATATAACATCATATGCCACTATCATTAAAAATATACTACTATAATTAAAAATACATACTAATTAAGGTAATATTTTTTACTTCAACTTTTTATTACAATTTTATTAATTGAATCGTACAAAAATTGTTCACCC